TCATGGAAATACTATTTCTATTATGAAATAGAATTTATAAATAAAAAGCAAGCAAGAGGACATTAAACATACATCTGAGCAGTAACATCAGGTTGTCAGTGGTTATCAGTCAGATAAACCAATTTATACGGATAATTCTAAAGATAGACAATTCTGAACAGTCCAAGGTGATAGACCATACATCCTGGTGTAATGAGTAAGTTTATGAAGATAAGAGTGGAGGAAATTTTTAAGTTTCAAATAAAATCAACACAGAATTTAGAATACATATCTTGAAATATCATGGGGGGGGCAAATGGGGAGGTTTGCATTCTCATATAGTTATGCTGCTGATCAGACAGCATTTTTAAAAACTATCTCCAACCAACATTGTGTTACAACAGATTATTGTTCAATATTATTATTAATCTAAATTAGTGCCTTGATACAGTTAGGGCCCTAATTTTGAGGGTTACTGCAACCACTACAGCAGCTCAAAAGCTATAAAGGGTCCAAAAAGCCAGCTTAACTGGCCCCAGGAAATACCCCCGGCAGTTACACCCACATCCTGCAAACTCAGCACAGGGACATGCCAATAGTTGGAATGCTTTGTACTGATTATTCTGTAGTGCATACCAATCCATGTCAGGGACTGGATCAGCCCATGTAACAAGAGAGAACCCTGGAAGTGAAAATCCACTTTTGCAATGCTAGCCTTCCCTTCCCACCCCATCCCTTTCCACACACCCTATTACACTTGGAGAGAGAGCACAGATCGTGACCTTTAGTCTATAGCTGCAAAATACTGACAAGCATTCCACTCCAAATACAAAAAATGTAACCACTCTTGCAGAACTGGACCCAGTGGCACAAAGCACTTCTTCCCAAGGCAAGCCCCTGATGAAAATGAATGGGAATCATGCCTGAGAGCCCAGGAGTCGGTCCATATTAAATTGTTCTTTTTCTGTGGCAGGATCATGTTGTCCCTATCTCATTTGTGTCTACAATGCATATATATTCTTTTAGAGTAGATATTTTTTGAGATGTAAACTGAAACTAGTTTGAAGCAGAGGGTCGATCTTGCACTCTAGTTCATTTCAGTCCAGCCGTGTGCAAGACCCATAGTCGTCCCCCACCCAGCTTGCAATTTAAGTTAAAACGGAAAGCCACCGCCATGAGGAAGTTAACCTCTATATCTTCTTGTACATTTAAAGCAGTAGCTTGTAATCTGCCTTGGCCACTTGTCATATACAGAGTTGTGTCTGTAAAGGCAAGTCAAAGATTAAAATCAGCAGCACTGATTAATGAGATCATCCTGCACAAGAAAGATTTCCCTAAACAGAGAGAGCAATGTATTCTTTGTTATACTCCTGGGACACCAGCAATGTTGACAATGGTGCAAAAGCATAACTAGAAATATTATGGCATATGGCACTTAGAGTATCCTTTCCTGATCAAGTATATAGAACCTCACAAGGTGTTTTTCTTGTTTGTGTTTACAAATTGACTTCTAATACACAACTGCAGCCACACAAGTCAGTATCATAAAAGGCTCTGCAGTGCTAGATCTATTTTATGGATAATGAGGTGCTGATCTGTAGAAGTATATGGGACTGCCTTTGGTAATTTTTGTTTCTTTTTTTCTTTTCTTTCTAATAGATTCTTGAGGGTAGTTTGGGTACTTTCCTGTTCTAGATGCATGAAAGATTTAGCAAGGAGGCATGGGCTGAAGTGTTTTCAGAATGACGGCAACATTCATCAGCTTTACATTCATCAGCTTTATCTCCGGCCTGGAGAGTGTAGCTGAGTGTCTCTTGTGGTTCAGGTGAAATTGAGGAATGGATAACGGTGAGCTGGTTCAGACTTGAGCCAAATAAAACTGAGATGTTTATGGTGGATGGGGGAAGTAACTATTAGGTCTGCTTTCATTCAGGGAGGCCACGTGTCGTTTGTTACAAGAAGTTCACAAATTGAAGAGCTGGTCAGATTTCCAGATGATTTCAGACAATCAAATATCAGCGACCAGGGCTACTTTCCCCCCCATTTGTGTAGTCGTCTCAGTTTGCAAACTTTTCTCTCAAATACATATATTCAGTGAAACAATCCAATACTCAGTGGTAGAGATGGCTGGAATCATCCTGAAAACATTTTGACTTTTCATTTTAAAAGAAAAAGTTTGGCAATTGCAAATGAAAACATTTTCATTTTTTGGGCAACCATTTTCAATTTAAAAACAAACTGAGGAAAGCAGACACTGCATTTTTTTAATAGTTGAAAATGTTTCTTATGGAAAGAAGTAGTGAACTTAAGCATGTAAGTTACCAGGCTGCCACTCTGTTACTGTGTACCCTGGTACAGAACATGGCTTTAATCTCTTACTAGATCCTGCCTGCAGTGTGGAACCCTATTTGTGCTGCTCCAACAGCAGAAACCCACAGGAAATTCCTCTTGCTCTCTCCACCCTGCCTCCCCTTCATTCTGAGTCAGGTACAACACATGTGCCCGTCTATAGTTGTAATGTACTATAGTACTGTCCCTCCACCACTCCTCACACACTATTTTTGCTCCATAAGCATGCAAAGAAACTACTACAATAAAAAGAAAAGGAGTACTTCTGGCACCGTAGAGACTAAAATTTATTTGAGCATAAGCTTTTGTGAGCTACAGCTGTGGCACTGTAGAGACTAACAAATTTATTTGAGCATAAGCTTTCGTGAGCTACAGCTCACTTTGTCTGGGGGGCAGAATGTGAGAAGGAGAGGACCTCTATTTGACAGCAAGGTAACACTAATTTAACATTAGTTAAAATCAGAAATTGCAAATTGCACCGTAGAGACCAACAAATTTATTTGAGCATAAGCTTTCGTGAGCTACAGCTCACTTTATGTAGCTCACGAAAGCTCATGCTCAAATAAATTGGTTAGTCTCTAAGGTGCCACAAGTACTCCTTTTCTTTTTGCGGATACAGACTAACACGGCTGCTACTCTGAAAACTACTACAATAAAGCAATGTGTGACTTTAACTAATGTTAAATTAGTGTTACCTTGCTGTCAAATAGAGGTCCTCTCCTTCTCACATTCTGCCCCCCAGACACATAAGTATTCGTCTAGACTTCCCAGCACTATAAAAATAATAACTTAACAGTTTATTAGTTACCATTAAAACTATAGTAGTAAACCCAACCAAATCACATGAAGAAAAGGAGTACTTGTGGCACCTTAGAGACTAACCAATTTATTTGAGCATGAGCTTTCGTGAGCTACAGCTCACTTCATGGTTAACCTTCACGACAGTATGGCATGACATGTGATTTTGTATGCTGTTGTGTTGCACTTATTTGCAATGATCAGAAGCTACTATTACCACAGAAAATGATAATCTGAAACATTAGGCACATTATCCACGAGAAGATGTTGTGTCTCACCCTTCTATTCTTAATAGAAACCTAACCCTAACAACACCTGTTATCTTACCGTTTTTCACTAAAGGGAAAAACCAAAACATAGAGACTAGCTGGCTAAATCCATTGTTTAGTTCATAAATTCACCTGCCATATTTAACTGGTCACTCAATATATTGTCTGTCCTCTAAAGCCTTAAGCAGAAAAAAAAATTATTCATGGGGGAAGGGCACCATAAGAAAGAATAAAGGCTCAGCCTCAGCTTCTCAATCTGAAAAATAAGAATACTGTCTTACCTATCAAAAAGGAGCACCACAATTACACAGCCCTTTGAAAATTTGAAGTGCTAAGTAACAGCATTATCAGAAAATCATGCCACGGTTTAAGTTTTCCTCAAACTGTGAGGCCTTGCATAAAAGCCACTGATTTTCCTTCTTCGATGTCTGAACACTTAAAAAAAAGAAAGCCTCACAATTCAAGGGTAGGAACAGGATGTTTAAATTACCATTTTCAGGCCAATGCCAGTCCTCTGGTCACTTCCTGTCCCACTAACATACAGTTTGTATTACAAAAGGCGATCTCAGGTATATGCAGGTACTCATTCATTTTAGCAGGAATGTCAATTCCAATCAGTTAGTAGGAAGAGCCAGAGAAAACTAACTTGTTCAGTCAGTTAATCATGGGTCATTCTGGGGTGGCTAAGGAAAGAGCAAATGATTTTTATTTTCTGGATCTAAAGGCAAATACACATATTAGCTGGGTTTGGACTGTAATACACTACCAGAACTGTTAATGAAGTTAGCATTTGTTAGGGTACATAGACTGGAGGAGTAGGGAGATTCTGATTTTGTTCTTCTTAGTGACAGGAAGAAGAAATTACAGCTAAATACATTTAAAAAAAAGGATTTAAAATAGTTTTCAGCCAGATATTATAAATTCACCTTCTAAACCTGTTACTTTCTTGAAAAACAGACACACTGCATCTCTTTTCCCTGAGATAAGAAAGAAACTATTTCAAAGCACACCCAGGTTCAGAACACTAGCTCGGTGGGACACCATAATATTGTTCTCTCTTTTGCTTCTGTTTGAAAGGGCCCTGATACTTTACCTGGGGCTCAAGCACTTCTCCAGAGAGATGGAAAAGAGTCAGTTCCTATGTTCCCCTGGAGGTTTCCAAATGTGGCACAATTTGAAGGGCACCTGAACTGTGCTAGTTTCTTACTGGCTGATGGTCTTCCAATTAAAGCAACCATCCGTTCCTTGTTACGAAAGGGAAATACTAGGACACCGGCGCCCCAAGTTCCCGTCCTAACTCGGATTGTTCCCTTAGTCCACGGCCACCCCCCCGCCCGTCTCCGGCGGGTACCGCATCGGCCTGTTCGGCGAAGTTCAGATGCTACAACGTCCCCCGAAGCGAGCGGCTCAGCTCACGCCCACCCCACCCAGCCGAGAGCGGGGCGCGCCCCTCCCCAGGCGGCGGAGAGGCGTCAGGCGGACTCGGGGCTCCCACGAGCAGCCGAACGAGAGAGGGGCGCTCGCCGCCAACCCCAGGCGGGCCCCGGCAGCCCTCGGCTCGCTCTGCCCAAGCCGCAAGGCAACAGGGCCCCCGGCGGAACTCACCGCTCCAGGAAGATGGGCGAGAGGCGGCGCCCTCGCTGCTTGCTCCAGCCGCGTCCTCGCGCAGAACCGTGCCGCTTCCTCGAGGGAGCCTGTCAAGCCAGGCTGGGCGCAGGGAGTTTCCCCGGCCCCTCACGGGCCCCGCCCAGGCTCCTCCCCCGCCCGGGCCCATTGGCCGCAGGTCCAGGCCGCGGCGGTGACCGGCCGCGGAGAGCCGGGGGGCGGGCGGCGAAGGAGGTTTGCAGAGCCTGGGAGCGAGCGGGGGAAGGGGTCTCCAAGTGGCTGCCTCGGCATGGGGCGAGGGGGAAGCCCGGGGTCCGGAGGTAGAAATGGGGGGTGCGCGGGGCTCCCCCAGGGTCTGCTGCGGGAGCCGTGGAGGATTTGGGGAGCGACTGGTACAATCCCCTCCTACTCCCCCACCAGGCCTGCTTCAGGGGAGAGGCCGGCGGTGGGTCACTTCCGAGAATTGGCTGAGGGGTTTCCCCAGCTGCTAGGAAGTGTGGGTGGCTCTGGTTATAGCCAGCAGCTGGGTCCGCCATGCTCCTTGCTACCCCCTTCCCGGTGCTCTGGTTCAGAAGGGGCCTTTTGCCAGCTGTGCCCAGATGAGCGCCTCGTGAACACGTGCGGGGGGCTGGCACAACCTCGCTTAAGTGGCTCTTTTAACCCTGCTCTGTGCTGCTGATACTCTCACCTTCTTGTCAGCTGTTTGAAATGGGCCACCTTCATTGCATTGGCCCCATTAGCACTACAAACGTGATTTTCGGGTAGTATTCACCCTTTCTTGTCAGCTGTTGAGAATAGGCCACTTCCACCTTAATTGAATTGGCTCCTTAGCACTGAAACCCCCCCCCCCCCCCCCCACTTGGTAAGGCAACTCCCATCTTTTCATGTGCTGTGTATTTATACCTGCCTACTGTATTATCCACTCCATACATCTGACAAAGTGGGTTTTAGCCCACGAATGCTTATGCCCAAATAAATGTGTTAGTCTCTACGGTGCCACAAGGACTCCTCATTGTGAGTGCAGTTAGAGCAGGTTGGGGAGCTAAATAAAGGGGTGTGGAGCAGAGGGTGCAGAGTAGGGGAATGAAAGGGGAGGAGATGATTGAGAATAGAGCATCAGAACAGAGAAACAGCAGGGTGAGTGGGGGGAGGGATGTAGGAGTGACAGGGTGAAGAGTAAAGTTAAGGGCAGGGTAGAGGAATAGGAGTTCCTGGGGACCTGAGTGGGAGGGGGTGGGGGTGTGATGGAGGGGGTGCGATGGATCAGAGCATGAGATATCGGGAGCAGTTGCGTAGCTAGGATGGGACATTTGGGTGGGTGGGCAATGATGGGGGGAGGAGGGATCAGGCCTGCCTACTTCCTCCAGCCAGCCTTATGGGGGGTGATGGACAGGACCAGGAGCAGACCCAGCTCCATGAGGAGAAGCTGCTCTCCAGCAGCAATGGCTCCCATCCCAGTCCCACACCGGGCCTGGCTCCCCAAGCGGCAGGCCTACCTTTTTTGAGGATTCCTCTGCTGCCACTGGGTCGCCTGAAGCTTGCTCCTCCCAGTGGCACATTAGCCACTGGGCCAAAGTGGTGTGCCCAGGGCCTCCAGCCAATTGTGGGCCCCTGGAAAAATGGGCACCCTGTCCGCTCTGCCTCCCTGCCCGGCCCTCCAGCCAGGGAGCATGGTCAGGGTGCGGGCGCTTGCCCCACTCTGCCTGCTCCCCAGCTAGAGCACTGAGTGGGTGGAGTAGGGCAAGCCCCCGCACCCCGACCACGCTCCCTAGCTGGAGTGCCGGGCAGGCAGAGCAAACCCCCACGTCCCGACCCTGCTCCCTGGCTGGAGCACTGGGCAGGCAGAGTGGGGCAAACCCTGAGCGCACTCCCCAGCTGGAGTGTCGGGCGGGCAGAGCGGGGCAAGCCCCCCACTGCCTGCAGGAGCGCTGGGTGGACAGAAGGGGGCAATGCTCCGCGCCCTGCCCTCTTCTTGGCTGGAGCACTGTGCGGCTGGAGCTGGGCAAGTCCCTGACCCCGCTCCCCGGCTGGAGCGCCAGGCGGAAGGAGTGGGACAAGCCCCCGCACCCCAACCCTGCTCCACGGCTGCAGTGCCAGATGGGCAGAGTGGAGCAAGCTGGGGCCGAAGCAGAGCTGGGTCTGGGTCTGGATGCTAAGTGGGTGGGCTGCGGCCCATGGACGCCCACCCATGGCTATACTCCTGATTGGGAGTAGGAGGCACTGCACAGAATGATACAGGAGAAGGGAGGTAAGTGATAGACTGAGAATTGTGGATGGAACAGACGCAGCCCCAGTGAATGTCAACAATCGCCAGTAGCAACAAAAGTGGCAGAAAGTCAGACTACAGTTTTTTGGGCCCTGTTCATGTTATAAGTTGTAATCAGTTGCTGGCATGGTTGGCTGTACACATGGCTTGCGTTTGAATACAAGAGGTTAGAACTTTATTTGTGAGTGTGGTAAGTATAGTAACTGTGTTGCATTAACCGTATTTTGCTGTGCCAGAGGCCTAGGGGTAGACAAAGCATCATGCTGTAACAAGTACAGCTTTTTTGCGGTGTGGACCAGACACCCTAACTAAATTTGTATAACCAGTTTGACGAGTCCTTCTTCACTGCTCTGTGTGAAGTACAAAGCCCATGCCAAATTCAGTTGTGAGTCTATTAGTGTAATTTACCCAGGAGTTGTACTAACATACTCTGCCTTAAATTGGGTCTGTACTGAAGAAAACTTCCCCCAAATTCTAACCACTTTTAAAAACTCGTTCAGCTAAACACTGTTAAAAATAGATGGACTGTAACATTTCTCTAGTGAAGATGAAGCATCTAAGTTACTTCAAACTTGCTGAGCTACGCTCACTGATGTGCATCTTTCACGCCATTATATCTGACTTTTGGATCTTATCATCTAAATCTGGAAGTTTCAAAATACAGAACTTAGGTTTAGTCTTTGTAGGTCCCACGCTGTAAATGAAATAGCATCTGTACTTTCTTCATGGCTGTTGTGCATTATAGGAAAGTTTTAAGCCACCTGTATTATTTCAGCAACACACTCTTGAATGTTATGTGAAAATTCATTCACATTGGAGATTGTTGCCCTTAGATAGTCTTTGATGCAAACTTGCTTTTTCCTTATTTGCTGTTGCTTTTCCTGTCACAAAAACAGCACTCTCTTCAGCAGCACGAGAGGAGTTAAGTGTTTTACAGTTAGTGGTCAGTTAAAGAACATAAGAATGGCCATGCTGGGTCAGACTAAAAGTCCATCGAGCCCAGTGTCCAGTCTTCTGATAGTGGCCAATGCCAGGTGCCCCAGAGGGAATGAACAGAACAGGTAATCATCAAGTGATGATAAAAGGTGATAAAAAGATATTGAGCATTATACCTTTTACCCCCTAAGGGAACAAAAGGCCACAATTAAAAACAAAAAAACACCCATTTCCCTTCAGTGAATGAACTCACTCAGTTTTTGTATGTAATACATGTGCTTATGTTTTGTGAAACATAAATCCAGAACTGGAGATTAATTTAGATTGGGGTGGGCAAACTACAGCCCGCAGACAGTTTTAAACTGGCCCTCAAACTCCTGCTGGGGAGCGGATTCTGGGGCTTGCCTGCTCCGGCGCTGCGGCTGGGGAGCAGGGTTGGGGCTGTGCCACACGGCTCTTGGAAGCAGCCACATGGCCCCACTCCGGCACTCAAGCCGGGGAGCAGAGTTGGGGGCTGCTCCAGGAAGCTACGACATGGCCCCGCTCCAGCTGGAGAGCAGGGTCAAGGGCCGCTTCATGTGCCTCCCAGAAGCAGCAGCATGCCCTGCTCCGGCTCCTACATGCTCCAATTGCCCCTTCTGGCGCTCCAGTGGGAGCTGCAGGGGCGGTGCCTGCAGACAGAGTAGCATGCAGCGCTGCCTGGTTGCGCCTCCACCTAGGAGAAGGGACATGCTGCTGCTTCTGGGAGCCATTTGAGGTAAGCGCCACCTGGAGTCTGCACACCTGAGTCTCTCTCCATGCCCCAACCCCAGCCCTGATCCCCCTCCTTCCCTCTGAACCCCTCGATCCCAGCCCAGAGCACCCTCCTGCACCCCAAACCCCTCATCCCGAGCCCTACCCAGAGCCCATACCCCCAGCCAGAGCCTGCACCCCTTCCCACACCCCAACCCCTTGCCCCAGCCCTGATCCTCCTCCTGCTGTCTGAACCCCACAGTCCCAGCCCAGAGCACCCTCCTACACTCGAAATTCCTCAGCCCCAGCACCACCCCAGAGCCCGCACCCCCAGCTGGAGCCCTCATTCCCCCCCGCCCCGCATCTCACTCCCCCTCCCCAGCCCAGAGCCCCCTCAACTCCTCATTTCTGGCCCCATCCCCGAGCCCGCACCCCCTACCAGAGCCCTCACCTTCCTGCACCCCAACCCCAATCTTGTGAGCACTCACGGCCTGCCATACAATTTCTATTCCCAGATGTGGCCCTCAGGCCAAAAAGTTTGACCACCCCTGATTTAGATCATAGATCTTCCATTGGTGACAGAATCCTGCTCTCCACAGACGTAGAGGGCACCTAAAGGCAGCAGAACACAGCAAGGGAGAAACCTGCAGAGGCTCTGCATGTTTCAGAGGAGAGCTCTCTCGCCAACAAAAAGCAAAGAGGCTTGCAGGCAGGCTTAAGGAGGAGGAGTGGTGGTATGGCCAATTGTTCCACAACTACATAAACCTAATGATAACTTAAAACCCCTCAGAAGGGAGAAGCAAGTGCCAGGGTTGCTACTTCAGCTAGAAGCAGAGCAACTCCACTCACTTCCAGGGACATGGTGGGGGAGAAGGAAGAATTCTCTCCCATCCATCCACCCACACAGAATTGCTGTGCAAACCCCATTTGGCCTAGGTTTATAGGTGGGACTGGTAGAGCTGTCTATTATTAATGTTACCTGACACAATTCCCATTATAAAATCCTGTTTTCAGTTGCTTATAATGTTGCTGGATTTTATCTGTCTGGACTGAAGTTCTCCATGCTGGGTTTTTGCCTCAGGTTTAGTTTTTTGGGAAAATTCTAGGCAAAACTCTTCAGCCATTTCCAAAAATAAGGCTAGGGGGAAATGCATTGTTTTGCCCACGCTTAAAAAAAAAAAAAAAAAAATCCATTGACTTTTTTTGAATACTTCTAACATCTCCATGTTTTGGAAGAGGGACTTACAATTTGTGAGGGGACTGGCCTTAGTATAGGCCACGTGCCTTTTGCCAGCCCTGTAAAAATCCCCCTGAATTTAGCCAAGTTATAAACCTTAAAAAAAAAACCCAACTCTTC